TAGCCATCTCACATTACAGGCTTTTTGCACAAGACGGGAGGGGTGGATTATTTCAAAACAAAACTCCCATGAACTGGTATGCCATCTCAGTGGGTCATAAGCTGGCCAGGAATTTTTAAATTTTTGCAAATTCTCAACTGAATTTAAAGTGAATTCTACCTGGAAAAACTGGCCCTTTCTCGTTACATCAGATTACATGTAAAAATGAAAGGGGAGCGGTTTATTTTGATTGCCGAGGGTCTCCCAGGGGTTTTGGGAACAAGGGAACATTGGCAAAATATTGAAGGGAACAACGGAACATAAGGCTATTTTTAGGGAACTGAGGAGCAAAAATGTAGAAATTAGAGGAGAAAATATTGTGATATAAGAAATAAAGACCGTTATTTGTGACATTTTATTTATGGTCATTTATGCACTACTGTCATTGGTTTCGTCTTACGTTACGTACACAAGAAATCAAACAAAGACAAAGTAATCAGCTGAGAGTCTGTGTGCAAAGTTGGCGGGAATCTGTTGTCACAGATTGCCAAGATGGCGGAGAGATTTGCCGATCGTGTTGTGCTGCCTGTCACTGCTGCGATTTATATAAATGGCGATGAAAAACCAGCAATGCGTTGGTCCTTTGTATTGGGAATAGGGGGCGAAAGTGACAAGGCATTATTTAATTTTATTGTTCAAGTTGAAGAAGGATTTGGAATCGCAGATCCTTGTAGCCAGCTAAGCATAGCGAGATTCAGAGTGACGATCAGTGTGAAAGAGTTTCAAGTCACAACGAACTGTCCAAAAAGCAGAGTATTTGAGATTGATTCCCAAAAACAGTGGAATGCAGCGATTACCAAACTGATAACGAAGGAGCGGGAGTTAATAGGTAGGTTTCCCAAATCTGGCTTATATTTGAATATATCTAACGCTTGAATAAGCTCTTTATTTACGATTATTCATTAACCATGTTCATCTCATTCTCGGGCGATTTCAAATTAATTATTTTCTTTGTCAAAATGTGTACTACTGGGTCATTTCCCTAAAATGCTGTGGCATCTGTCTTTGTAATAGTGAAAGTGTATGAGATCGAGTTGAAAGCTGCTTGTACCCACATTAGCAATTCAGCACAGGCTAAGCGGGCGGGCAGATATGCAGAAGGAAATCCAGCGTCACCAGTGCCTTCAAAAGTAGCAAAGTCAGCAAAACCTGGGTTCGCCCAAAGACATCTCATAGGATTAACCAGGAGAATTAAGGTTAGTTCCGACAGCTCATCCCACTCTGATGGATTGTGAATTAAGGTTAGTTCTACAGCTCATCCCACTCTGATGGATTGTGAATTAAGGTTAGTTCTACAGCTCATCCTACTCTGATGGATTGTGAATTAAGGTTAGTTCTACAGCTCATCCCACTCTGATGGATTGTGAATTAAGGTTAGTTCTACAGCTCATCCCACTCTGATGGATGGTGAATTTCGCTCAGTTGTTGGAGATGATTTCACACAAATTGAACGTGTCATAAAATGTATTTTATTCTTTTATAAGTTTTGTTTTTGGTGTCTTTTTTTTTTTTGGTGGGAGGGAATGATTTTGTGATCCCCCGATGTAGATTGTCGAGGGAACAAAGGGCATTTTATTTTCGCGGCCCACGGGAATGGAATGGTCTACCTGACAACACTAGGAATACTTAAGATATTGATATTTTTAAGCGGAAACTTTTCAACAATATGTTCTATATGTAGTAAATTTGGATATACTTTGATNTTTTTATGTCGATGGAAGCGAAATACGCCATGATATAGCTGGCCGAAATTCACGAAAAACCCGTCCGCCATTACTCAGCTCGCAAACGAGAGCCAGCGACTCAACTGAAAAGCGGTTTTACGCATGAGGTTGCCTGTGACGTCATACGCACACTTTCGCATCATGCTTCGTGTGTTGTGAGAGATTCCACAGTGGAAATTCTAGGCGTTTTATAAGATGTATTCTTCCTCGAATTCTTCTTCCAAATGGCATACAAATTTAGCCACGTTTTTTAGGTCGAGCTGCGCATATGACGTCACTTTCGAAGGGCTCCAACTAGTGCCAACTCTTATTGCCACACTCGGCCATTTTTGAATTGAGTAATGGCGGGCGACCAAAAACGAAAAACGAGGTTGAAATAATCATACTTCTAGTGAGAATTTTGCGATTAACCTTGGCAGGTAAGTGTTTCTTACTTCTAGTTCCAGAAGTGAAAAGAAAAGGCAATGCGAAATTTTGATCATAGTGGCACTTAACATTGTGACCGAAAAGCCCTGTTGAAGGGAGTCTCAATAAAGTATGTATGTATGTATGTATGAAATGTAGGGCGACGATAAGTGGCAAGCAAATTTATTAAACGGGGAACAAATAAGGAAACAGTGTGGGAACATAGGACAATTTTGGAAGGGAACAAGGGAACAAGGACACCCCTTGGGAGACCCTCATCGTCTATTCCGCAAGGATTAAGCTTAAATGCTTTCGTTATTGGGGCCAGACCAGGCATAGGTATTCTGCCGTTTAAACCACGCGAAAAATTTTGAAGAGTCTTTAAATAATTATAGTCAAATACCTGAGGAGGATACCTTCGGCGAACTTGTTACTGGAAAAATGGCATCTTGAAGTGCCGTGATCGATAATGGATCTATTTTGAATTTACCAAGTTTTCTGTCTCGCGCGGCGTCCTTCAGGACAGAAATAATGTTGTCAGTATTTACTGTTCGCTCGAATCTTAAACTGAAAATTACTACCACACTGCCTCTTCTGTTAAAATAAAGAAAGCAAGATATAAGATGAAAAAAATAGAAATACTTCCACACTAAAAGTTATATCATAAGGTTGTACTTTTGCAAACTTTGGGAAAAAAACTGAAAGTCACTCACTCGAAACGTAGGATTTCAACGCTTTTGAAATTCTTATCAGTTCTGAAGAGATTTCCGACCTAGAAAAAAAATAAAAAACAAAGCTGTTTTTCAATATGGATTTCTAATCTTTAAGAGATCTCTATGATATGTCATTATTTTGCATAGCGATGAACTTAAAGACTTACCGCTTCAATAACACGCTCTAAGAGGTTGTGGTATCTTCCGCTCTCTTCGTCCGTGAGACTCGTGTCATATTCCTCATTAGTAATTGTCATCTTTACATTTATGAAATCACTGGCTCTTTCTAATATGAAAAAAAAAATAGCTTTTAGTACTCTAGACAAAAGTAAATAGTATAAATAGAAAACAAAACAACAAAACCGGAAAAATAAAGCTGAATTAAGGGAAATGCAGTGTTGTTAGGGTAACCTCATAAGTAAGTAAGAAATCGTCGCAACATGTATATTTATAATTGAACATATCTCAGAATCACACTGAAAGAAACAAACGAAAATTTGTGGAAGCTAGGATCCATTGAGGATTATCTAGTTATCATAACCACTGTTTCTATCTGTGGTGCGTGATTACTTAGAAATATGTCTATCTAAATTTGCCCAGACGCTTTAAAAAAGAAGAAAATCATAATGACAATACACCGCTGCAAAAATTAATTTCTTCAGAGGGCAGAGCTACTAACCTGCGACATCAAGATATGTACGAGCAGTGGCTGGAGAACCAATTCCATTTTGTGCTGTACATTTATACCATCCCTGGTCGCCGAATCTTGCGGAATCAAAATGAAGTTCAGTTCTTTTCCCGACATTGTTTTTGTGAGTCCAAGATATGGTCGGTACTGGATTTCCCATCGCTCGACAACAGAGGGTTACATTTTTACCCAATTGAACTGTCTGGTTGATAGATATGTCGGTTATCTGAGCAGGATCTGTTAAGAAGTCAGTTATAGATTTTCTTTTTCTATAAATGCGATAAGTACTTTTAAGGAACTCAGCTGGCGATGCCAAATAAACTGGACACCTTCAGTTTTTTCTTTACCGAACTAATTTTACTTACAGTTTACATCAACTTCGCAGAATTCTGTGCTGTTGTTTCCAATTCCGTTCCAAGCAAGGCACTCGTATCTACCAGAGTCATTGTGTTTGATGTGTTCTATAAACAGTACTTCACGATTTGAAAGTGTCTTTCTTGTATTCGCTCTGTTCCATGCAACACTCGGCAACGGATTGCCGGTGAAATTACATAAAAGTTTGACACTATGACCTTCCGTGACGGCACTGGGGCATTGCCTTGATGTTATACTTGGTGGAACTACAAGTAAAATAGAAGAAAAATCGAAGGAGGACTTTATCAGTTTTTCATATTGGCCTTTTGGACAACGAGGGAAGTGATTAAAGAGCGGAAACCGGATTGTGGAGCAAATAACGAGTAAAGGTTTAGTTGCGAGAAGAAATGTCTGACCACGGCCTTCTTACTTGGATTGAAGTCGACAAGAAGAAAGAGAATGAGAAATAAGAAACAAACAAACAGAGTTCGATTGTGAGTTTTGGTAATGTCGTCATATCAAAAAGTCAAAATTACTTTCAGTTCGTCAGTCTTTAAATCACCTACAAAGTTAAAACGTCTCTTTAATGTTATCTTTATTTTTTGGACTGAATGTCAGCTGTAGGGGTCTTTATAATCTCGTATTAATTACGGAGTCGACATACACTCATAAAATTTTGCGAATCCAAGAGCAAGTGAGAGCTACTGAATATATGTTAAAGAGGAAGAGAACAGTTCAAACGGTTTCGTAGGTGATTTAGAAAGAAATTTTGACGGCAGTTGCGAAAATAAAAGACATAATTGAGACATACGAAAACTCTTAATGTCGGAAGGATGAATACAAATGCTTCTTAGACCCGGGTCTCACTAGAGCTATATTTACTCGGGCTCCCGTAGGAAAGCTCGAGTCTGAAAATGGAAGCCGTTTTGGTCGCCAAAAGGGGGGTCATGGTCCCAGGCGTTCCTTGCGTAAACCGCGGAAAGTGGGGATGAGAGTGCGACAACTTGTGTCATCGTGAGCTCGCTCTCCGTAAACAACGTAATTTACAGAATGCTGTGTTTTTTGAAGACCGTTTTTCAAATATTCCTTTCTTATAAGCTCATCCCACATGCAAACGCACATGCCGTTCGTGGCAGGCACACGCTAAATGATGTCGAGTGTTTTCGGAATGGGCCGGTCCACGAACTTCATTGCTTGAAAGGTAGCCAAATGTGGAAAGTTCCTACCGGTTCTTACGAGATAACGAATGAGCCATATGTGAGTTTAAACGACGAAAATACTCGCAAAGCTGGGACGGCCGATTTAACAACAAACCATGATGCTAAGACGAACACCTCACAAAAATCAAGAATGTTCGTGAACACAATTTCGAATGTGACGCTAACAACAGCGAATTGTTTAAGTGAAAAATCTGTCAACAGTTAGCGTGAAATAAATGCGACCCCCAATTTGGAAAACCTTGCCAAATTTGTGCATACGCCAAATTTACGGCAATCTTCACAGAATCCGATGACTTTCCTCGGAAGCCTTCAAATTTTGGCAAAACAAACATTCTCTTGTTTTTTATTTATGTTTTTGTTTTTGCTTTTGTTTTTGTTTTTGTTTTTGTTTTAACCACTTAGCTGTCACGATATGCAAAATATGTCGAGATAGCATTTCATGGAGAAAAAAATCCTTTTTTCCGCTGGTCTAGTTTGGCGGGCGATAACAGGATTTTCCTCGTTCCGCTGCAAGTATTGAAGCCAGCTCAAACAGTGCTAGCGTCAACCAAAACCCAAAAGATCAGCTGAAAAAAGCATTTGTTCCTCCGTAACAATTCGTGTGATATTTTTTTCTATTTCTTTCTAGAGTGAAATAGGTTTGTGATTAACATGAGAATCCATAAGTGAAGTTTTGGTCGTAGGAGACCATTGCCGAAAGTGCAGAATAGGCAATAGTCCTTTTTACAGTTGTGGGCTTGGTGGCCAAGCCTTTGAACAGGAGTGAGGCTAAGGGTGACCTTGTTATGATAGAGATGTTGGTGCTTTTCAAATGCACATTTCTTTGCTATCATGCTTACTAAATACAGGTCTCTATCACAACAGGGTCACCCTTAGTCTTGCTCCTGTTCAAAGGCTTGGCCACCAAGCCCAAAACTGTAAAAAGGACTATTCCCGAATTACTTTTGGCCTCTTTTTTAAAACGAGGCTCGGTGCTGAACCATTGTTGTGAAAATGAGTTTAGTTTGAATGTGAATGAAAACTTATTATCATATGAAAGGATCAGCACTAGGGCTCGTTTTGAAAATGAGGTCAACGGTAATTCGGGAATGGGCTATTTTGCCAATTCTTGGTTTTCCCAATATTGGGAAATAATTTAATTTGCTCTGGTGCGACCCGGCCCTAAAATACTTTTCCATTGAAATGATGTATTTTTTTGTCCCTGTATTAGTCCATAGAGTGTAAAGTACAAGTTTTAATACAGGCTCGTTTTGAACTGCTCTTTCGATGATTTTGGAGCTCGAAATGCGATGTAATAACAAATATTAAAAAGGAGATAACTGATACTACTCTAAAAAATGATGCTAATAGTTATAATTGTTATTATCATAATATCATTGTGACAACAATTTAAGAATTGATGATCGATGAAATATTTGCAATTTTTTAATTCTCTTCGCCGAATATTGCGTCTCTGATATTGTTTACCAGCTCATACATGTACACCGAATCACCTTATAAGGTAAATAATTCCCCCAAGTGATGCTTCGGTTGTAAAGCGATGCCAAATGTTGTCATGTGGTTCAAGTCTGGCTGTTTGGCGGCCGGAAATAACACTGACCTCGAGTTATTTTAGTTTTAAAAAGACGGAGAAAGTTAGCATCAACAGCATTATCGCAAAGTGTGAAATTCATTTCTTATACAAATGATACCTTTGAGGTTTTCGAGACCGATCTGAAGTGAACATAAGGCCAAATACCTCTAAGAAACAACACAGCAAAGTAGCGTGTTCTTAAAAATTTGAGATCATTTCACCTTGAAATGTGATGTTTGGTAGGATAATATTATTTTTTTCAAAACCTGCGTCTCACAGTTGCTCATTACCGTTGTAACGCGACCATCTTTGTTTACATAGTTTTCTGGTATCTACACAATTTAGTCAATGACCTTCTATGGGTTGTGTTTCATAACAGATCGTAAGAAATCGAAACGACCTACAACAGTGTTGGGCTTGCGTCTTATTTCATTGTTTTGTTTTGATTTTGTTTTGTCTTTTGTTCAACGGTGCTTAGAATAAACTCTAAAGCAGTTTCAGGCTGAAAATTCGCACGGTAAAGGTGATGATCAATTGAAAGAACTAAAGTAAATACCGAGGTATTATCGGTCTCACGTCGTAAGATTGCTTTAATTCTTCCAAAAAACCATGTAATCGCCTACTATCTGCTTTCTCGTTACTCCGTGACTCGTCACTGCGTTACTCTGTTTAGTAACACCCCATAAATGAGAGGAGGGAGCCCGAATGAAGGCCACTGCGGTCTTATGTTTGTTGATTTTTGTTTTTGGGTTTTAGCAATTCAAACTCTGGTTTTTTTTTTCATTTTATATGTTTCTATAAATGCATAAGATACTCCGTTAACTCATGGTAAGTTCTCAAGTTTCAGTAACGCATCAAACGACATTTGAAAGTAATAAAAAAAAAGAAAGCAAATATTCCAAGAATTACGAAGAGGAGGTTGTTAACTATTGTTTACAATCGCTTGACATGCTTCAGAGCTAAGTATTCAAGATAAAACAAATAAATTCGTTTGCAGTTGATGAAGCACAATTTGATTTACTTACATAGCACTGTAATTTTCACATCGTTGTCGATTTTATCCAGATGCTGGTTTACTAACTGAAAGTGATATATGGCACTGTCGGATCGTTGCACAGCAACAAGTGTAACCAAGGCTTGATTATTTGAAATGTTGAAAATAAATCGATCTCGAAAGGCAGGATCCACATTGACAGAGCCGTTAGACGATGACTTGAGAGCTATTAGCTTCTTCAATCGGTCATCACCGATCAGCCAAAACTTAGCGAATGCCAGTAAGCCATCGGTTTTGAACCTCCAGTGCAGATCAAGATTCTCATTTTCGATAACAGAGGTTGGATTAGAAGGCGAGGAGGTCCATACAGGCTGCAGTTCTGAGGAAATTGAAATGATGCAAGTTGGGCCATATCTAAGTAATTATAGTGCTTAGAAATGCTTAGAGAATGAAATGGATTGTAAGTTTTATCGACCAGTAGGACAAATGTACGCTTCCACTTTGACAGTAGATGAAAATGAGATCGGCAAGTTGACGCTACATCAAGCCACGTGGCGACAACTTTGTCAAGCATTTTGCCCAATATAGTAACAGACCAACGTCAAGGGACAAACAGTGGGATTAACTGAAAGTAAGAGCTCGTGTATAGGTGCAATCAAGCTAAGTGAGGTGAAACAAAGGCCGAGTAAAGGGAGAGAGTATGATTTTGAAACAATCATTAATGATCGATGATGTCAAAGAAGCCTATTTAATAATTAATTCAACGGAGAACAAAACAAAGTCTCAGGTTAGGCGTTAAATCTCAAGATAACAGAAACTGTACACTTTGCCACAGGAAGGATGTAAATTACAATCTTTACCCCAATAATTTCCACCAAACTTGCCTGCTTTTTCCGAAACCATGAATAACCAGACTAGTAGTGTAGCAAACTCAAAGAAGCATCCCATCCTCGGCTTTCTCTGTCCCTGGATAAACAAAATGTTGACCCGAAGACGATGTCTGTTAAGTTGACGTCCCTTGGGTATTTGTGGGAATTCAATTTTCGAAAGCGAAAGTTAAGCGGATACCCCAGGCACGTCCACAATTCATTTCGTGCCTAGGAAGGGCGGAAGAAAAATAAAAGAAGAAAAAGGAAACTGATGATACATGCAGGGATCGCAAATTCACCCGGTTATAGGAATGCTGAAAAATCAGCTTTACTTAGAGATCTGCAGAGTTATCTAGAAATTTACTTTCGTGAGAAGTTTCGAACAAGACTTGCCTATTCCCTGAAGCACGTTCGCTAGTAATCGGATACTAATGCAATCGGCTTGTTGTACAAATTAGTGTGTTGAAGTTAGAAAGCGAAAGGTTGCCTTCTGGGAAATACACCTACTCATCTTAGTGTTGTCTTTGGCGAGTCGCTTTCAAAGCCATTTTTTATCATCTCGTGACGTTTCCCATGGATGGAATTCAGTTCGTAGTCATCATGATGCTCATTCCAGCTCTGGCAGGTAAGCAATAAAGACAAATCAGCTTCCTAACACAAATTGTTGAGCGACGATTTCTTATCGGTAAGATAATTAAACCTTGTTCCTGATGTTACAAAATTTAATTGTATTCTGCTTACAATTTACTGAGTCTACTGAATTGAAAAGATCCTTTCACTGGAAATAAATCTAAAATCGCGGCTAGTCTCAAAAACTGATCGCTTGGTGAGATGCCTAGAAGAACCAAACATTTCACAGTGCAACTCGTCTATTAATCTAAAACGCATCTCCGAATGACCTGGATTCACACTAATAGAAAACGAAGCCGGCAACGCCACGAACTTTTAATTTCAAATTTACTTAGCTGAATTAAAAACTAATTTATTTGAAACGTCCTGCAAATCAATCTTCTGAAGATTGAAATTCAATATTTTGCGAGGACAGAGGAAATTATGTATCAAGTAGCTTCCTGCTACTAAATTCAATCACCAGATATTTTTTTTAAAGAAAGTTCGTGTTAGTTCGTACCAAAATTGTCTGAAACAAAACCCGCCTTCAGTGTAGAGCAGTTTCAGTTTTTTTACCCATAAACCTTGGTAAGCTAAATTGGTTCAGTTTCAATAAAGTTTATTAAAACTGAATCAATTTAGCTTACCAAGGTCGATTTAAAATGTTGTCGGGTCGCAATGATTGGGTAAACTAGCTGCAGAGCGCAGCACACTTGTCAAAAGGCACCAATGACTCTCGATCAGTCCTTTTCAGGCTTCTAACATCTCTATTCTCTTATACAATCTTAATTATAGCACATTAAATTTCACTCTTCTCTTTAACCACTCTTACTATGACCGACTGATCGACTCTGTTTCCCTCTTATGTGTTTCGGGGAATTCTAATCAACTCCCTCTTCATCTAATCGATTACTCTTGTATACACGCCAGAATTACAGAATTTGCGAACATACCGTAATTCATTATCAGTAAGCATGGGTGGGCATGCTTCCCAAATGACCTTGGAAGATTAAACATTTGTTTTTAGAACACTTCTCCAAACGCCTTTACAAGGATCTGACGAATAAACAGCATCTTACTGGATGCTTTCGATCAAACAATCATTTTTTGACTGTCAAGCCAAAACAAGAACTTCAGTGTGGGCCCGTAATAAGGGTCTTCGAGTCGTCCATGCGCTAAACACAATAAGGAGCGGCGAGAATCGATCTGTGATGGACAGAGCAAGCTGTTGACACGGATGATTCCCACGGAAACATGTACCCATGACTTAAAAAATAAGTCAATTTACAGCATTATTAAAACAAAGGAGGGAAATGTGTGTAACAGAATACATTAATATATAAAAATGTCTCTCACGAAAAGTGGAACTCGGACACTCTGTCTGCCGAGACCCAATTATATCCATATCACCACTAAGTCAATAGGAAAATGTATCTGGGAAAAATAAGCTAGTTGTATCATAAGCTAAATTTATCATTTAGGAAATAATCACATTGTCAGAAAAGTTTATCAAATCATTAGCTTATACGGCTGTTTCGACATTTACTACAAATTGAAATGGACTTCGAATGTTTCAGTTTAGTGCTATGATCATCTTGAAGTCTGAACTCGAGGAGTCTTTGCAACATCCAGGCTTAAACAGAACGAGGTGCACTGTGTAAGTGTAAGCCAGGGTTAAAAATAACAGCCGGCTGGCGGCGGCAACCAGTACTTTTAGCACACACTTGCCGGCGATGTTTCATCATAGAACTAGAGTTTTAGAGAAAATATTATGCTGATTGTTAGTCCCACTGAAGTAAAAGTCGCTGTCATGTTATGGTAAGCACTACATATCAGAAAATGAAGCAGCCAAAGAAATCTTTTAAAAGCTTTTAGGAAACGTAAACGAGTATAAAGTTTCGGAAGTTGACGCGTGCTACACTGGAGTATTTTTGTATACAGTAATCAGCGTTCTACGTATTTGCTCAAGCGTGAAACATGCAAGTTTGTGTACACACCGTCAAATTACCGTGTCCATGTTTGTCCATGTTTCGGCACATACATATACGGTGGCCCATTCC